GTCTGAACTAAGGCTCTGTGGTTGTATCTTTGCAGCAAGTGGGCATGTCAGATGCTATATTTAAAGTCCTTTGTTGGCCACACCCCCACCCCCCTGCCCAAGAGTTCCCAGTCTTCTTAGCATGCAAAGAACAGGCTCCAGCAGCCTGATCTGAGTTTACATCTCCAGCCTCATCCCCTTCCTCTCCCTTTGCTTCCTGTGTTTCCTCCATATCGGTCCACATGCTGTTCCTGGCATGCTCTTTCCTGCCCCCACTTGTGGTTTTGCAGTTTTAAGCAGCACCTCTTCCAGGGAGTCTTCTCTGATTCCACCATTAGCGTCCCATCCAATGTATGTCATATGCCTGTCTCCCCCAGAAGATTGTGAGCTCCTTGATAGCAGACTCTGTCCTTTTCATGGCTGTATCCCAGTGTCTTGTGTGGCTCCTGGAATCTACAAACAAGAGCTCGTGTTTCTAGAGCTCTGGGCGGGTGGTCTGAGTTGTCCTGTTCCTCACTACGGCCTTCAGAACTGTTTTCATCCCTGTTGCTTAGATGAGAAGAGCAAGGCACAAAGAAGTAAGATGTCCTGCCCAGGGAACCTTGGCTCAGTTTACAAGTTGCATCCTCCAGAAGCTGCATCCTAACCAACAAGCTCTGCTGTTCTTTCAGAACACACAAAAGGATGTCTGATGAGCGAAGGAATGAATCATGAGAGGAGAGAACAGAAGATGGAGGAAATAGAAATATGACATCACTGAGGAGGGGTGTTTCTTTTTTGTCATGATTAGTAGGTATTCATCCAGTTGTGTATAATAGCAATATCATTTAAATTTATAAAATTTACCAACATTAATTAATAAGTTAGAGGTGGGTTGAAGAAAGCTATATCATAGACCCATTTTACACCATTTAGAAGTGAAATCAATGTCTTTGAAAGCTTTCTTATGCCGTCAGGACCCTGGCATTAGCTCACAGGTTTTGAAGACACATCATGAACTTGTAGTATAGAGGGGTGTACAGATTTCCAAGCAAGCAGTGTCTGCCCAGGGCGGGGCTGGCTGCAAAGGCTAGGGCCAACAGTGGAGGTGGGTGGGGTGGGATTCTATGGAAAACAGCAGATTGTTCCTTAGTGGGAATTGTTTCACCTAAACCCATTTACTCTCATGCAGTGAGAATCCTGTGATCTAGTTGTGTGGCCTTTGGGGAAGAGAGCTGATGAAGGGGTTTGGGGGAGGTCCTTTGAACAATGAGACTGTTTCTTTGGAAGGGAGTATAGGATTTCTTTTTTCAGAGTTGAAGCTGACACCATTGTGAGCTGGTTGGATGGAGCTGGGCAGCCAGGGGAAATTAGGATGGACAGTGTGGGGTAGTGGACCCTGAAGCTTGCTGTGGCCTGCCCCAGCTGAGTCACCTCAGGCAAACTGCTTAACCCGCCCCTCCATTTCCTCATCTGTGATGATACAAATAATACCGCCTGCCTGATAGCATCAGGGGAGCATTGTAAGTTAACCCTTGCTGAATGCTTGGTCAGTGCGCATAATAAACACTCATTAACTGATGGCCACTGTTATGATTATGGTGATGGAGAGTCAGTGTGCGGCAAGGATCCACTGGTCCAGGTTGGAGCTAGCCAACTATGAGGGGCCTTCTCTCCTGCAACTCTCTGCAGTGCCATGTTATTTGTGTATTTTATGAGGGTGGGGTTCCTGGACCCCAGCTTAATGTCCTATGCCAGGGAGTCACTCGCCACAGCCGGGGTTTGTGATACTCCAGTTTCTTGTGAAGAAGGCACAAGAATCTTCTGAATTCTGGATTTCTCTTTGGCTCTGACATTTGTGTTTGGAGTCTCTGCTTGCGTCATTATGCTAAAGCAGTAAAGAATGGAATTTGGAGTGAAGGCATCTGGTTTCAACTTGAAGCAGTCATGCCTTTGTCACCTATAAAGTTATCTAATGTTTGTGGTAAGCTTATCATTATTATTATATCAAATAGAAGATTGGATGTGAGAAGGCTCTGTAAAAGACAAGTTCTGGAACTTGTTTTAATATAGTGTTTCTCCCCCCAAAGTATATAACTCATGAAAGAATGTGACCTTAATCTGTTTGGGGGTGGTGATTACATCGGAGTCCCATCTGACCGTCTGATGATATTCTCATGTAATTTTCCAAGATTTCTTTTGGCTTCTTACTAGTTTGACTTAAAAAAAAGAAAGAAAAGAAATCAAACTGAAATGATTACTCAGATTCAGGGCTCATAAGACTGGTTCTGGCTTGTCCAGAACCTGTTGGGATGTTCTCAGCAGAAATGCCACTCCCATAAGACCGTTAGGACCAAATGCTGAAAAGTCCAGACTTCTTAACAACTGAAGATCAGAAAGTAAAAAAGAAACTTATGTTTTCTCTTCTCAATTATCTGTTCCCCTTCTCCCAGTCTCATTATTTGAGTTTTGTAAGTGGATCTATTCCAGGATAGCAATATTGAGGGATATGATTATTTGATTTTTGAAATAAAGATATTTCTGATTATTACTTTGAAATATTCATTTTAGTGGACAAAATGAAATAGGCTGATTACGTCTTCAACACTGGATACATTAGATAAATTAATTTGTTGAGCACTTACTCTGTGCCAGTCACTGTGCCAAAGCTGGGGATACCATGATACAGAAGGTAGACCAAATTCTGCCCTCACATACCTTTCTGTTTTGTAGGTAAGGAGACTAGACATTAAGCAAATAAATCTACATAACAGATTTGCAAAAATAATGTGACAGATGCCCAAAAAATGGAGTGTTGTTAAGTGAATGGTGAGGGATTTAGTGTAGATTAGAGGTCAGGAAAGACTCTCTGAGAAGGGACATTTAAGCTGAGACTTGAAGGGTGAGAAGTCAGGCAGAGTAAAAGCATGTGTTAAGGTCCTGAGACAGAAGAACTCAGGAAGGTCCCTGTGGCGACCTGTAGTTTTGTGGGCAAGTGGCATGAGAGTGGGGAGGGTTGCTTTAGGGACCTCACTAAAGATTTTGCATTTTATTCTTAGAAATTGCTCTTCAATGCTGCTAGATTTAGTTGTGATAAATGAGTTTGATCGGGCATTATGCTTGTTGATTCTGGGGGCTCTTCTTGGGGATGGGGTTTTCTAGTCCAGAACTATTGATGATCCTAAATAAAGTGATATTGAGGTAGGGCTATTGAAAAAATGAGCCCACATTGCCCATTAGAAAATGCAGAATATTTATGAAGTCATACCAGCTCAGCCTTCTCAGGAAGAGGGATCAGAAAATGAGAGGACTTTGTTTACTGGCTGCTTCGGGTGACTCAAGTTCAACTGCCAAATGTTGATGGAAACGAGTAGCCTGAGCTTGTCCACGTAGAACATCTCGGCCAGTGGCTGCCCGGGAAGATCTGAACCCTGGATCATGGGCTTTCATTTTTCCAGAGAGCCAGAGCTCTGGTAAACAGATGATGGGAAAGCCAGAGAGGAAGGTTAGGAGGTCAAGATTTCTGCAGTGTTGTCCACATCCTGCCACATTCCAGTAGGGTTTTGCCTGATAAAGTCATAGCACGTTCAAGTCGGAAGGGAACTCTAGGATCAACTCACTACCCCTCATTTTGGGGGGCCAGGATGCTTAGGAGGGAGTGGGCTGTGGCAGTGGCACCCACCAGGTGTACTCCATAAGGGTAGCATTTTCGATTTGGTGAGGGCTGATTGGCAAACCATGACTGCAGAAAACTGAGGCAAACACTGAGGTTTAGGGCCTGTGTCCTGACTTGCTGCCTGGCAGGACCTCTTTGCTGTGGTTGAATCTTATGGAGACATCTGTGTTCACAGATCTTTACAGGATCTTCTCCCTTAATTTTCAGGAGCCAACAGTCTTCTTCAAGGGGTAGCGGAGCCACAGCTGTGGGCACTGAAAGTCTGGGTATGTTAGCAGTGCCCTGCTTGGGGGGTGGGGGGGCATGGATTCCTATCCAGGAAGGTCTTTTGATGTTAAAAACAAAAAAAAGTCATGGACTGACTCTGGAGTGATGATGGTTAACATTCTTAGTGTATCTTAGTTTAGAAAATACCTAATGCCCAATAATGGAAAGTTGTAGCATTAGTACTACTCAAAATGAGTTTGCACTTCATCCATCATGACAGCATCTGCATTCACTTGAAAAATAGTTTACGTCTGTGGGACATGTGATGTTTATTCAGTCCACATGTAATGCTCAATAGGCATATGGATTTGAGTACCTATTGCAGTTATTGACCGGCTCCCCTCAAGTGTTGGGTGGTCTATAAACTAGGAACCACTGGTTTAGAATCATCATCTTGCAGAAAACCATCTACCTATCCAGGAGGACCCTGATCATAGCTAATTTCTTGAATGGGAGTGAAATAAACCCACACTACTATATTTAAAAATCATTCTTTTTTTTTTAATTACAAAAATAATTCAAACTCATTGTAAAAAGACAAATATATATGGAAATGTACAACTGTGAAAGTTGCAGTATCCAGTTTTCGTCCAGGCATGTATTAACATATATCACAATTTTTATAGAAATAAGATGTTACTGTACATAATGTTCTCTAACTGTGTCCGTGTGTTTTTAAAACCCTAATTGGTGACTGACTTTAAGGAAGTAACAAGGTTCAGTGGGAAGAACACTGGGTCTGGTTCATTGGGTCTGTAATAGACTAGTTGGAATGACTAGTAATATAGTAATATACTAGTTGGGTGATCCTGCATAGGTCACGGATCTTTCTAAGCCTCAGTTTCCAGGTCTCTGGAATGAAGGACTGATATTGGTATTCCTTTCTCACAGGTCATTATTAGGATCTGTATAGAAAAGGAATCTGTAAATGATAACATATTGAATAAATATAAAATATTACTTAAACTTGTGGTGTCAGGTGTCTTTTCATTTTTAAATGCTTTGATCCATGTCAGTGAATATTTAACCTGGTGGTCACTTACTCAGAGGTCTCCTTGGAGACAAATAGTAACTAGCCTGTCCTCCCCTTCATTGCCAGGTCACTCCTGGAAGCAAGGCTGCTCTAGCTAATTTATGTATCGGAGACGTGATTACAGCCATCGATGGGGAAAATACCAGCAATATGACGCACCTGGAAGCTCAGAACAAAATCAAGGGCTGCACAGACAATATGACGCTCACGGTAGCCAGGTGAGGCCGGGGACACATTTGTTCAAAGGATCTGTAGATGGGAATTTCAGGTTGCTCATTTCCCTCTCGTTTTTACAGTGCTGCTTCTCCTAGCATGGGCTTCTTTCTCTAAGATGGCTGCATTTTCACCTGATCCAACATAAGTAACCAAAATTCTGAATAAATACAATCAGTTCAATATTGTTAGGTGTAATGAAATGAAGATTTTTTCCCCCCTGGAGACCATTGAGAATCCATTTAGGGCGCTGCTGCCACCTCCCTATACTGAGCAGTGGGTTTTGCACCAGGAGATTACCACAGCAGAGAAGGACTTCAACTTTAGACAAAGTGCTGAGCAAAACTTTCAATGCACGTGAAGAAAGGAGAGCTGGGGCTGAACCGATGAATAAGGAGAGCTCCTTGGGAGCTGTAATTAGTGTAGAATTTCCATTCTTCTTCCATTTAGTCTTAGAAGGGCTCCTACAAAGGTAAGATTTCAGGAGCAATCTGACAACCTTCAATGGCTATTTCCTGTTGGATCCAGTTCAGGTTCTCCCTTTTGATCTGTGACCTACCCATTAATGTCTCACTAACCTTAGTTCCAGAGCTCTCCATCAGGTTCTCATCTGTAAAGTATCTTTATTGCTTTCTTCTACCTTGGGCCACAGGATTGGCAGGAAGACCAAACAGGCAAGTGTGTCAAAAGTGTTTTGTATACTTCAGAGTCCTACCCAGTGGGAGGTATACTATTTTATCATGCCCCACAAGAGAACATTTACCTCATTTGTAAGTTCAAATCTCCTTCAAGCTCTCACTCAAGCCACTTGTGCATCCCTTGATTGGTTTTTGATTTTTGATTCATTTACCAACAAACTGAATAAGCACAACTTGGGTGTGCCTGGCACTGTGCTAGGTACTGTGACAGATACAAACATAAGTATAAATGTTCTCTACCTGCAAGAGAGGGAAAAACCCCACACTAATGAAAACTGAGACTAGCTAAGATTGCTGCTGTGTGTTTGGTAGGAAGAAAATCCATTGCAAGCTCAAAAAAGGAAGGCATTACTTTGATTGAAGCCAGACAAGCTTCGTAAATAAGTTGGTGATTTGGTCTGGGCCAGGAACACTGTGTCAAGATAGAGGAGAAGCCTGTTCTGTCCTGAGTGGAGATGGGCAGCATAAGGCATACGTAGGAACATGGAGCCTCATGACTGGTGTCAGCCACCCAGAATGTGTGAGGGCAGCTGAGGCTGGAAGAAATCAGGGCAGCTTGGGAAGTCGCTCAGGGCCTTACATGGGGATTAGCCTTCAGATTAGGGCTTTTAGAAGATCACGGGGTAACGAATAGAGGGTGGCTAATGTCAGGATGTGAAGTCAGAGGGTACAAGTTCAGATGGGGTGGGAGGATTTTTCTAATCTGTTTTTAGCATATAGTGTTCTCTCAGTGTCCATGGGGAATTGGTTCAAAGACCCCTGGAAATACCAAAATCTATGGATGCTCAAGTCTTTTATGTTATAGAGTATGTGTATATAACCCGTACAATCATCTACTTTAAATCAACTCTAGGTTATTGATAACACCTAATACGATGTAAACACTATGTGAATAGTTGTTATACCTTATTATTTAGGGAAAAATCACAAAAGAAAAGGTCTACATATTCAGTCCAAATGCAATTTGATTTTTTCATTTACTGTCTATGTGGAGTTGATTCAGTGTGAGAATGAGGGACCTGTGGATGTGGAGGGCAGACTGTTATTTACTCAGCATGGATGAAATGACAGTTTTGTTCATCTGTTGCAGATCGGAACATAAAGTCTGGTCTCCTCTAGTGACTGAGGAAGGGAAACGCCATCCCTACAAGATGAATCTAGCTTCTGAACCCCAAGTAAGTTCTTGCTCATTTTTGCTGTTTCTCTTGCTACCAGCCACTTTCCGGCTTTTGAAGATTATCAGCATATTTCATTTTTTTTCCCCTGCCCTTGGGGCCTGGGGATAGAATGGCCTGGAGAGCTCTCCACTGTCACTGCTGGGATCTGGCTCTTGTCCACTTCTTCCCGTAAAGGAACTGTGGGAGGAAAGGGCTGGAAACCCCCAGGGCAGGGACCTCAGCCTGAGCTGGAAGCCAGGGGTAGGAGAGTGATTAGGGAAATGGTGGAGCCTTCCTGTGGGTAGGGCAGGACCACCTCAAAGTGAAGTCAAGGTGGTCACTCAGCTCATTAAGGATTTCAGATACCAACAGATCAGCCTAAGGATGAAAGTAAGTTTAGGTCCTGAGGCAGAACCTGGAAGAAGGAAGGGAGAATTGTATAGTAAACTCTGCTTCTCTGCCCTGTACCCTCCTGTGAATCCTGGGGTGGAGATCTCTATTTTCCCTTACAGTAAAACTTCTAGTGAAACTTTAAAATTACTAAAACAAAGTCATACTTATTATTGAAAAATGAAATAGGAAATCACTGCACAATTTGACAGGCAAATAGAATTTCATAGGGCTGTAGGTTGTCCTGAGATCCCATTGTTAGTAGATCAGTCTCTCAGCAGTTAGCTTGTAGGTGATTTTATTTCTTCCTTATTTGCATATTCTAAAATATCCATAATGAATGGGTACTCTACTTTGAAGTAAGGGAATCAAATAGAAGAATGTTTATAGTATCTAAATTTGTAAAATTTCTTATACCTAACACGATATTTCTAACAAAGTATATGTCTATTGAGTAAATGAATGAATAATTAATGATAAATGAATAAGTAAGTTGATAATAACATTTGTAAATTTAGAAGGTGTTGTGATTATTACACATTTAACCCCAGTTTGAGATTTGAAATTTAATTTTTTTTTCTAAGTTTGGGATACTAGTTAGCTTTTTAAAATTTTCTTATTTTTAAAATTTTTTTGGTACTAGTGATTGAACCCAGGTGTGTTCTACCACTAAGCTATATCTCTAGACTTTTTTTATTTTTTATATTGAGACAGAGTCTCACTAAGCTTCTGAAGGTGGCCTCGTACTTGTGATCCACTGGCTTGCACCTTCCAAGTAGCTGGTATTATAGGCGTGCACCACCATACACGGCTCACTGGTTTTTATGGCAAATGGAGATATCATCAAAGGATAACATGCAGCTAGCTATCTTTGATACATAAAACAAAAATTGTACAAAATTGAACTCACATGGTACATTAGTGTGTATAAGTTGAATAGTTGAATGTGTGTTGTATTTCCCCAAATGGCTCTCATTAAAATTTCAGAAACATTAAAATTTTTTTCCATTCATAGAATAAAAATACTTAAAAAATCCCATTACTTTAAGGATCATTTTGCATCTCCCATTTCAAAACTTCCACAAACACATTTTATTCTATTCAAGCCCTGTTAGGAAACCTCATAAATGACGGTCTATAAACTGGCTGTTGTATAAACTAATTTAAGACATGCCACAGTTAATTTCTCAGCCACTTCATTAAATTTAATATAAATGTTAAATTTTAATATTTTAAGTTTCAGATATTTTTATAACATGTAAGGAATAATTTTGTTTTGATTTGATATATCTGAAATCCTAGCTTTAACATAAATAATCATTTACGTTTCAGTTAAACTTTTTATTTGAATTGTACTTGAACTTAAACATATGATCTGGTTATTTATATTAATATTTGGAGGGTAATTCTCTTCAAATTAACAAAAAGTTCTAAACTATTTAAGTATCTAAGTCGAGTATATTTTCCTTGTGATTCCAGTAATTCTTTATTTGCACAAAAAAACTTCCCACCTCTCATTTTCCCAAATCTTCCACTCTAGCCATGCTGAGCTAAAGAATAAATGAGTAGGAGCAGAGTTCATCTACAATACAGAGATCTGTTAGTTCATGTAAAGCCAACCAACACCCCAGCTTATCTGAGGTCAGCATAGTTACACACCTAGTTTGTATTTCCTCATTATTGAGTTTCCTTGGAGACTGATAAATACAAAGCCCAAACAATTACATCATCCCTTCCAAAAGGCAAGCCCTAAATCTGCCTGTCTTCTGGAAAGACCAGTATTCACATGGGGGTAGAGATATTCCTTTTATGTACAAACCAGATACATTCTTCAAAGATTCTTTATAAAGCAAAAGTCAAAATTTCCAACCTGAATTTTCCACAACTTCCATTCTAATTGGAAATACATTTCTATCCGAGGAGAAGGGAACAGGACCCTGTTTGGATATGTGCCATGTGCCAGGCACTGTGCCTGATACACTAATATGTGGCACCAAGTCCTTATGAGGGCTTTGTTGTCATTTTAAAGATGAGAAATGGTCTTGGAGAGGTGTAACTTGCCCATCGTCCAACATGAAGTGGCTACAAAACATTGAGGCAAGTCAGGGCTTTCTCTGGTGCTCAGCATCCTTGCTGTTCCCAGGGGTTGCTGTGAGACAGAGGAGGAAGGAGGACTTGCTGGATGCAGTCATGCATCTGTCCACAGTGCTGTAGTCCAGGTGGGCGAGAGTCCCAGGCCGCTCATCTGTTGCTGTCTCCACAACCAGTTTTAATGACTTCATGTGATTCCTTTGAGTAGTTGTGCCATAAAATTACTTAACCATCCCTTGATTACTGCTGAATTTTTTTCCTTAACTTGTTTGTCTCTACTTGTGATTATCTTTGCAGACTTAGCTTTTGTCTCATATGGACAAGGTCAACTTAATTTACACAGTAAAATCTCATGAGTTCAGACCATCTGAATAGTGAAAAAGGAATTTTAATCATAAAATATTTTTATGTTGTCTTGCATTTTAAATTAGATACACAATGAATGAAGCTGTTAGATTTTTTTTGGTGGGAGGGCGGATGGGTATTAGCAGATGGGTACTGGGGACTGAAGATGTAGGACTGTTTTCCCACTGACCTACATCTCCATTCCTTTTTCTTTCTTTTTTTTCCAGCATGCTTTTCTTTATTCAATATTTAGTGGCAGGGTCAATTGGTGGAACCCTGGTGTGGCTCTTTTTCAAAGCAGAAAATGGCCTCCATTCTTTTTTAATTTTTTCATTTTTGAGACAATATTTCACTAAGTTGCTGAGGCTGGCCTTAAACTTGAGATCCTCCTGCCTCAATCTTCTGAGTCTCTGGGATTACAGGCATGTGCTACCACTACTGGCAAGCTGTTAGTTTTTATGTGTAATGTTTTCTAAGAAAATATTGAACACATTTTTTTGGAGTGGGGTGGGGGCAGTGCTGGGGATGGAATCCAGAGCCTTCACGTGCTAGGCAAGTGCTGTAACACAGAGCCTGATTCCCAGCTCCAACACTGAAGATTTACAAAAGATGATGGGGGGGTGGGAGGGGGCAGTGGTTAGGGAGTATGGAAGGCAAAGCGACAGAGGGTTGGGACATCTTTTGGCAGCTGCTGTTCTAGGATTGGGTGTTTTAAGAAAGAGACCAGAGATCAGGAAGATTTTCTTAGGAACTCAGAAAATACGGCACAGTTCAGTTTAGCAGGCTCCACAGAGCATGCATTGGGTTGGCCCAGAACATTTGGGTAGAAAGGACCTTGCTAACTGAGTTATCAGAAAACCTGTAATTTTTTTTTTTTTTAAAGGAACGTTAGTTTAAAAAGTGGTTTGGGGTGTTTCTAAAGAAGCTCTATAGGTTGTAGTTGTAATTAGCCTCCTCCCACCCCAGCAGGGACTTCCTGCAGTGCTGTAGGGGGGTGGAGGGTGCATTCTCAAATTACAAAGAGAAGGGAATGAGAACACCAGGAACTCACAGTTCTTTCTGCAGCTCTGCCAGGTACCAGGTACCACCCCTGTAACAGGTAGCCCTTAACCTTCTGTCTCCTTAGCCTGTCTTTCTCCAACAAGGAACAAAAGTTCCTACTCCCCTTTGCCCCCTTCTGTGGGGCTGAGACCGTCCTGCCTAGTCCGCTTCCCCTGTGGCTCTATAACTTGCTTATTTTGCTGATGGTGCCTCTTCAGTGCTGGGGATTTGACCTCTACCTTCTGTCATCTCCTGCTCTGTACTGACCTAAGCCACTGCACGTTCCTCTCTTCTTGATTCCTTAATCCTTCTGGAATGTGCTTCAGCTCTGATTTGGATCCTAACAGCCCAAAGCATCAAGGAGGTGTCCTCCCCAGAGGTACCCAGAAGTCAGGTTTTGCTGGGCCTCAGAGAAGAATCAGAAAGCAGAGTTGATTCAAAGGGTGTGAATTGGGACAGGTGCCCATCTGGGCCACCTCCTCAGTCAATGCCTAAGCATTTCAATGGGTCTATCAGAGTTCTTCAGCTAAAGTTTGAACCAGGGCCCTTGTGGCTCAGCTGACACCTCTCTATGGCTCTCACCTTGCACTGTCCATTAAGGAGTACCTTTTGGATACCCACCTTGATTTTGCCTCTGCTCCTTGCCCACAGGAGGTCCTGCACATAGGAAGTGCCCACAACCGAAGTGCAGTCCCCTTTACTGCCTCACCTGCTTCCAGCACTGCCCCCAGGATCATTAAAAACCAGTACAACAACCCAGCTGGCCTCTACTCTTCTGAAAACATCTCCAGCTTCAACAATGCTGTGGAGTCCAAGACTGCAGCCAGCGGGGAGGAGACGAATGGCAGACCGTAAGTAGGCCCCAGGCTCTCATTCCTCTCCAGGTCTGACCTGGAAGAAGCTTTTTACACCAGCACCAGGTTCATCTAGACAGGGGAGAGAAGGCTGAACTACTACTCTAGGGAGAGAATCTCTGTGTTCATAAAAAGGGAAAAGTACCTCCTGCTGTGCAGAGTTGTTATAAAAATAAATAACAAGTAAAATGTGTGTCTGGACAAACAAATCTTGCCATCATTGAGACCAGTTTGTATTCTTGTCCTGATTGCTGTGCTTATCACCACCACCTGCTGATCAAAGTCCTTAGCCCTGCACCTGGCTGAGAAATTCCTCAGTATTTTGAGCTGGGGAATTACTTGAGAGAATCTAGTGTCGTTTCTGGTTGTGTCCCCACATGATCTGAGCAAGGGAAAATAGCATGCACAGTTGTGGGAAGCAGTGTTGGCATTTTCCCACTGTGGGAATAGTGGACCAGAAAGCATGAACAGAAGTCTGAGGATATAAATGTTGTCTACAGAATGTTTTATTTTTTAGTATTAGTGAGTGAACCTGGGTCTTGTGTATGTCAGGTGAGCTTTCCACCGTACCGCTGAGCTACACCTCCAGCCCTTTTTAAAATTTTTATTTTGAGAGAGGGTTTTACTAAGTTTCCCAGGCTGGCCTTGAACTTTCAGTCCTCCTCCCACAGCCTCCTCGGAAGTAGCTATGATTAAAGATATGCCATTCTTGGCTTGTCCACAGGAATAGGTTTTGATTTGGGGGCAAAGGCACACACATATAGCCAGGAAAGAGATGGGGCCGCAGGTGGAAGGGGCTGTGGAAGCATTCTGCTTGGGATTGTCTCCTGCTTTCACAGGTCATTTGACAGCTGTCTTTGAGTCTACAGTCTCCTGGATCTTCCCAGCAGTAGGGCCCATCTCTGTTTCATTACAAACTCTGAGGATACATCTGGGAACACCAGCAGTCTATTGCAAAGGAACTGGGTGTGAGGATGGAGTGTAAGAGATGGGACCAGTTCTCTGTGGGTGGAAAGGGGCTAGAATAGGTTAGGAGGTGCCACTCAAATGCCAAAGGAAGGAGGAGAGAGCTAAGGGTATAGCTTCAAGTGCAAACCAAGGGGAAAAGGGACCACTGGCATTTGGACAGTGCGCACCCTGCCCTGACAGACCACCACTCTTTGGGTCCAGTCAGGCACTGCCTGCACGCCGAGGATTCACATTTCTGTTGATTAATTTTATTAAAACACAAGTTGTGAAAAGCCTCTTTTTATCTGACATCTGATTTTTAAATGTGGGTGACATTCGAATTTTGTTGGAAAATATGGTGTGGTCCAGACTTGTCAGAGTTCTGAGATTGCCACCTGGAATCCTCAATTTTTGTGTTAATTCCGAAGCCCACTTTGCCATCACATTTTCCCCTGTTCATCTTTATTACTAATCTGCTTCTAGGATAGTGAAATTGGAAACCAAGTACTTCAAGTGTAGGATGGTGAGGTTAAGGTCCTAGAGGTCCCAGACTCCTGAGGATATATTGGCCATACTGTGCATGTCATCTCCTTTTTACCCTCAGTGGAGGCACCCACTGCATGTAGGTAATGTAGGTAGGTCCTTATGCCTGACACTGAGGGGACACTGTGATTATTAGTCTCTCAGTATTTTATATTGTAGAGTTTTTTTTTTTTTTTTTTTAAGTTCACACCTTGCCTGGGTCTTAGGATTTCTTTTTCTTTTTTCTTTCTTTTTTAAAAAATATTTTTTCAGTTGTTGGACTCAATACCTTTATTTTATTTATTTATTTGTTAATTCTATGTGGTGCTGAGGATCGAACCCAGTGCTTCACACTTGCTAGGCAACTGCTCTACCACTGAGCCACCACCCCAGCCCATATTGCAGAGTTTTTTGCTGTTTGACTTTAGCTTTAGAACACATTGATGGACCCTGGTATTTGTTGTAGTAACCAAGGCAATATGGCCACTAGTGCTTGTTCTCCCTCCATATTCTGGTGCCAGCAAAGCCTTACCTGCTTGAGTTGAGGATGCCCTTCAGGGTGACCACCGGACACTTGGGGTACCTGAGAAAGATTGCCATGCTGTGTTCCCCAGCTTTCTATGGACACACCCTGAAGGAAAGCTTCTAATCAGTGTAGTGAGGAGCGGTGGAAACAGGGAGGGCTGTACCCCCCACATGCCACTGCTTTGGTGCTGGGGGAGGCTGAGAACGTGACCCCCTTTTACTGTCCCAGAGTGGAATGTTCCATGATCTGGATTTAATAACCCAGGAAATGACACATCCTTAATTGAAAGAGCTGCTATGTGCTGGGAGAAATATGTGCCTAAAAAATATTTTCAGTGTGGCCTTGGCTATTTTTCCTTCATTAATGTCTTCTTTCGTCTTCTCTCATGCTCCCTGCTTGCTCCCTCCACCTGCCGTCTGAAACAATTAAGTTTGAAACTGTCCCCTCCTGTCACCATCTCTGGCTGCTGCAGCCTCTGAGACTTTATCCAAAGTCTCCTTGAAGATTTTCCCAGCAAAGGAGGCTTAGCTTCTGCTCCATTCTCAACTCTTTGAGGCTGAATCCACAAATGATACCAGCCGCTCAAGGCAAAGGAGCTGCCCACGTCTGCCCAGCAGTGCTGCCCTGGTAGGGATCTCTGTCTGATGGTCTAAATTCTCTGCAAAGAAAGATTCTGCCAACCCAGCAGCCACAGGGTAACCTTGCCAGCTCAGTCAGCACAAGTCCCAAGCGCTTGCTCGCCCCCACTGTTTAGTCTGTGAAATTCGCTGAGGTTCCAGAATTGGCTCACTACATAGTTTGCATCTGAGGTCATCACCCATTCCCTGGGGCTTCTTTGTCCCATGCATTTCCAAGCATCCTGGGGTGTGTGTGTGGCTGGCTGTCTTGTAGGTCTTTGCACAGCTGCGTCCTAGTCTGGCCAGAATATCATCAGCATTGCCAACTGGAAGGGCATGCCGGGGGTTCCTCTGCCACCCCTCCTTCCTCCACACACAGCTGAGGGGATGTCCTCAGCAGCCATTTTCTCTAGGCAGTTAAGCTTAACAGTCACTTATTGAGCACCTAGCCTACTGTGTACCAGGTGTGGTTGCTCAGTTTGGTAGACAGCTAGCCCTTCCCTCTGCCCTCTTTCAGTTGCCTTTAGGGGCTCTGGTCAAAATCTGGTAAGTCAGAGCCTGGGGTTCATTAGTAGATAGAGGGGCCTAAGCCTTGAATGCCAGCTCTGTCTCTTCTCAGCTGCCTGGCTTTGGGCGAACCATATAACTTCTCTGAGACCCTGTCTGTTGATCTCTAAGGTAGGCTCATACTAGCTACCTCACACCGGATTGTTTAGAGAATGCAATGAAATGTGTAAAAAGTACTTAGCATAGTGTCTGGCTTCCGGTAGGTAAGTGCTCAGTGAATGTTACTTATTACTGATTTCACTGCCCATAGGGAGCTTCATCCCCAGCACTTCTGAGAACTAGGGGATCCCCAGGGGTGGAAGCAGGTAGGTAAGTGTTATGGAGGAGGTTTGGTGATGACTTATGACTTCTTTCTATTCCAGCACTGTGGTGTAAGTTTGGGTATCCAGTAGAGTTAATCAGCTTCCTGATGATGGAATGGGGGCGCGGTGTCTCTTCATGGAATAATTGGTTGCTCTCCCATAATTAACTCAGTAATCCCACAATATTAGCTCTTCTAAATTGTTTTCTCAACTACTCCCTCCACATTCATGAGGCAGATTTCTAAGCAGGTAGAGTAGAAATAAAGGGATGCGTTGTTCTCTACTCAGATGATATCACAGGGATTATATTAACCCTGACTCATGTGGGGCTGGAGCAGGAGACTTCCAGCACCAAGGTGGCTGTTTGTCCCTCTAGATAACCCTTGCCTGTAGTCCACAGAGAATTGTCTTGGGTATCTGGGTGTTCCTCCTCCACATCTTGGTGCCTGTAATTACTCCTCTGGTTTCTAATCACAACGCCAACAACTCGGCCATTGAATGCACAGGGAGCATTCAGGCTAGGTTTCCCTTCCAAAATTCAATACATGGAGTTTCCCAGAACTTCATTTTTTTTTTTTTTTTTCCTTTTGGGAACACTGGGATGACCAGGTTGGGGAAACTCATACCTAGGGTTCTTATTTCTCAGGACATGAGATATGAAAGGGTATTTGATCCTATCTCCTTAACCCCACCTTAAAAAAAAAAAAAAAAAAAAAACTACTAAAATCTCAATGTCATTTCCAGTTAGCATTTAACATCTACCACTTGGGGAAAAGATTTCTTTAATTAAACTTTTCATCTGAGATAATTATAGATTCATAATGCAGTTGTAGGAAACAATACAAAGAGATCTCTTATGCCCTTTACCCGGTTTCCTTGATAATAACATCTTGAAAACTATAGCACAATAGTATCAAAACCAGAATGTTGACAGTGAAAAGATAGAACATTTCCATCTCCCCAAGGGTTTCTCCTGTTGCCTCTTGTAGCCACACCCACTTCCCTCCACTTCCCACAGCCTGCTCAACCCCTGGCAATCTGCTCTTCGTTTCTATAATTCTGTTATTCAGGAATGTTATATTAAATGGAATCATAAAGTATGTAACCTTCTGAGATTTTTTTTTATTATTATTCTGTGTAATTCTCTGGAGATTTGTTCAGGTTTTTATATGTATCAAAGTCCCTTTTTTTTTCTGTTTTTGTGGTAAAAACCACATACATACAATTTACTATCTTAGCCCTTTTTTAAGTGTATAGTACAGTAGTGTTGATGACATGCACATTGTGCAGCGGATATCTAGAACTTACTCATCTTGAAAAACTGAAACTGTATACCCAATGAAGGACTCCTCCCTCCCTCCCTCCCTCCCTCCCGGCCCCTGGAAACCACCATTCTGTTTTCTGTTTCTAAGAAGTCGATGACTTTAGATACCTCATATAAGTGGAAACATGCAGTATTTGTCTTTACTTGTGACTGGATTATTTCACTTAGCATAATGATCTCAAGTTTCATCC